TGGAGGTGAGGCTCAGGGAGACACGTAGTCGCACGCCCAGACACACAGGGATGGGTTTTCTTGCCAAGAAACTCTGAAGTGTTTTTAGCACATGAGAAACAGGTTCTAGGCCGCATGGGAAGTCTGCTGTGTCTCACACCCTGTCCAACCCAGAGAAGGCACGAGACACGGCAAGCTCAAGGTTTCTCTATCCTTCTTGACCTGAAGGGACTCATCCTGTGCTGGCCATTTCTGCTGGATTTCTCTCTCTCCTCTCCTCAAGGTTACCCATTCAACGACGTGTGCCAGTGGTTCATTGACAGAGCTGATCTCATCTTCGTTGTCTTTGACCCTACGAAGCTGGACGTGGGCTTGGAGCTGGAGATGCTGTTTCGCCAGCTGAAGGGCCGTGAGTCTCAGATCCGAATCATCTTGAACAAAGCCGACAGCCTGGCTACCCAGGAGCTCATGAGAGTCTACGGTGCCTTATTCTGGAGCCTGGCTCCTCTCATCAATGTCACGGAGCCACCCAGGGTGTACGTTAGCTCCTTCTGGCCCCACGAGTACCATCCGGATACCCACAAAGACCTGTTCCTCAAAGAAGAGATATCGCTCCTGGAAGATCTCAACCAAGTGATCGAGAACAGGATGGAAAATAAGATCGCCTTCATACGCCAGCACGCCATCCGGGTGCGTATCCACGCCCTTTTGGTCGATCGCTATCTACAGACCTACAAGGACAAAATGACCTTCTTTAGCGATGGAGAACTGGTGTTCAGGGACATTGTGGAAGATCCTGACAAATTCTTTATCTTTAAGTCCATTCTGGCAAAGACCAATGTCAGCAAATTTGACCTCCCCAACCGCGAGGCTTACAAGGACTTCTTTGGCATCAACCCCATCACCAGTTTTAAGCTGCTGTCTCAGCAGTGTTCCTACATGGGAGGGTGTTTCCTAGAGAAGATTGAGAAGGCCATCACGCGTGAGCTTCCCGATCTCTTGGGAAGCATCGGCTTGGGGAAGAAGCCCAATATTCTCTCCTGCGACATCACTGGCTGTGGCGAAACCCCAAAGAATCGCTACAAGAAACCCTAAGGTGTTCTGTAATATAACCGTCTATGTGTTCCTACCGGTGAATGAGCTTATGTCTTATCTGTCCAAGAAGCCATGGTTTGTTAACCCTTTGAGTGCCACACTGGCAAAGGCTACTGTACGATGAGGACTTTGAGTCATTGACATCGATGGCAGGGGAAGATGGGTGGGCATAAGAGAATAAAAACTGTGAATTCCTGAGATTTTATCTTTGTTCTTTTGAGTAGAAGGCAATGTTTAAGCTGTAAGTATGAGCAATGCACAGTGAGCTGGGACTGTAGCTGCTTTTTCACTGGTGCCAAGAGTGCATGAACAGGAGTTTCAACCTCTGCATACCTGAAGCCGGCAGGGAGCGAGAATGAGGTCACGGCGTGAGAGCCCAGGGGAGAGCTGTGACACACTAACCCAGGGCAGCACCGGGAGCCCCCGGGGCACAGCGCTGGGCAATGAAAGAGAGGCCAGGTCCCATCTGTTGTTTTCAGGCACAAACGTCCTACAAATCTCTGCAAATACTGATCTTGTTTTCCTTTCTGAGACTTTTAGGTCGCCTGGTGAGTTCTCGTTTTGCGTAACAGCCGAGTTGAACTTCTGCAGCCTTCACCTGGGCGTTCGCCTTAAGAAGAGGCTTTTGTGGGGGCATTTGTAGCTCCAGACAGGTAGTCTTGATGGGATTTGCAAGTCCATGTCAGAGGAAGAAGTGGGCTGGAAAGGAACTGAGCTTTGCTGGAGGAGGAGGACCGGCACCCCAAATCACACAGTCCCACAAGGAGCCGTGAGCAGGTTTTCCTCTCTCGGGGCCAGCACAGGGACAGGGCACTTCGTGCCTGCTGGCAAGTCAAGCCTGAGGATCAGCAGGGCTCCGAGGGTTAAGGGTTTGGCAGCTTGAGCTTGTTCAAGTCGATGTTGCTGTTTTCTCAGCCAGAGCCCCGTGGTTTTGCCCTCTGTGGAGGGACGCAGGAATGGGGGGTCACCAGCCGCATCCTTTTGCCCATCTGCTGATCTGTTCTCCCTAGGACAATCCAGGAAGGTTTCTGCGGCTTGTTCGCCAAACTTCCCCCATTTTAGCCATGATTTTGTTGGCTCATCTCTGTGCATTGGTGCTCAGTCCTGGGAGGAGAAGGAGTACAAACCAACCAAGATGGTTGCCCTCGATGGAGACTGGCGCCTTCGAGCCCATCAACGACCTGCTGAAGGTCCTTTCTCCTTCCTGCTGCCAAATTACCACAGCTAACGCTGCTCTCCAAGAAATCTCTGAAGCAGAGGGACTTACCTTTGACAGGAACAGGAAGACGTGGAGGTGCTGGGTGAGGCAAGAGAAAGGCAAAAAGAATAAAACTAGAAATGGAAAGCTCTGTTGTGATGGAAAGGGTGTGAAGAGCAGCACCCCTCATCTCCAGGTGCCCAACGAGACATGGGCTGGGGCAGAAGGTCTGTGGGAGCTCCACGTCCCCAGGCACTGAGGCCAGGTGCTGTGAAGAAGAGGTCCCCTCGAGTCCAGGAGAGTTTGGGGGATGTCGCCCCAGGGAATTCCCATGCTCCTTGCCTCTGCTTCGTGGTAGGATTCTACCATTAAACTAATGAAGATGAGACGCAAATCTACAGCCAGGCATGGGAAGGGGCATGGCTCGTACGGAGGGATTTTGCCCGTAGCACAGAAGGGACCGGAGGTATGAGTGAAGGCAAGCAGAGTGTCAGAGACAGCCGCAGCCAGAACAGCCCGGAGAGAAGTGATGTGCTCGTGAGCCAGCGCCGCGAGGTCTCAGACCTGCCCCAGAGCTACTGCCTCGCCCCGCCGCTGTTCCTTCTTCTTTCTCCTACATGATCCTGTTGCTCATGGGCGTCCCCCTCTGCCTCACCCACTCCTCCTCACCCCTCACCCTCCTCCACCGGGCTAGTCTGCATGGTTTCCTTAAGAGTTAACAGAATAGAAACACCAGCAGAAATGGGCTAATGTTGTCACTGCTCCTGCCGTCACACTGTGTGTCACTGTCACGGCAAGCGAAGGTCATCAGACGTTTCTGTCTCCAAGCGCCGTATCGCGCCATCTCTTTCCTTGCTGCCCTCTCCCCGCAAAGCCCGTGGGCTCTGGGGTACGCAGGGAAAGGCCCCCCATCTCAGGAAGGAGCTCTGACTCTCCCTTATAGCCCTGAACCCAAAGGCACCATCGCTCTGGTCTCAGGCCGCTCCCGTCGTTCTCCCTATCCCTTCTCCCTTTTCAGCACCCGCACGCCCCGTGTGAAGCGCCTGCGTCCCGCGTGGGGCTCCTCTGTGATGGCCAAAACCCTTTTTCCTCCCTCAATATCGTACGTTAGGCTTCTCTTTCCCAAGGGATGGCAGCGGTGGTCTGAAGCTGGGGCTGTTTTCTGCCCCGTGACGCATGCTGTCGCGGCTTCGTGCTGGCTCGGGGAGATGCCGACACCGAGATGCTTTCTCTCCCGTGGATCCGAGCGGCTGTCAGTCCCAGGAGATCGCAGTCCCCAGCCCAGCTCTCTCCGAGCTTTCTTAGGGGAGCTCTGGGAATCTGGGGGCGGAAATGGGGAGCGGGGAGACCTTTTCATTTTGCCAAGAAGCCCCAAGCCCTTGTGCCCGCGGCAGCGGGGGGATGAGCATCTCACCCGAGAGCCTCGCAGGAGGGAGGGAGCTGGGACACAGGCCCGTGTGGATGCCTGCGATCGTGTGCATTGGGATAAAACTGTCAGCTTGAACATCAGCCTGTCTAATAAAACCTGGTATTTTCCAAACACACTCCCTGGAGATGCTTGTTCTGTTTCTGCTGCCGGGGCTGGGGTGGCCAGGGGGGTGCAGCTGCAGGCAGCGAGGCCGAGCTCCCGTCTCCTTCCCCGC